GATGAGGTGTTGAACAATAGACGCGTTACCACCTTCACAAGCATAATGTAACACACCGCCATCTTTATCATCAACCAGGGTGAGATCAGCTGCACTGGACACCAGTAAGTCAAAACGTCTTTTGACCATACAGAGCTGCCAGCATGACTGGGGTCTGACCATCACGCCCTCTCTTGTTAATATCACAAATTCTGATGAGGTGTTGAACAATAGACGCGTTACCACCTTGACAAGCATAATGTAACACTCCGCCATCTTCGTCATCAACCAGGGTGAGATCAGCTGCATTGGACACCAGTAAGTCAAAACGTCTTTTTGACCATACAGAGCTGCCAGCATGACTGGGGTCTGACCATGACGCCCTCTCTTGTTAATATCACAAACTCTGATGAGGTGTTGAACAATAGACGCGTTACCACCTTGACAAGCATAATGTAACACACCGCCATTTTTATCAACCAGGGTGAGATCAGCTGCATTGGACACCAGTAAGGCAAAACGTCTTTCTGACCATGCAGAGCCGCCAGCATGACTGGGGTCCGACCATCACGCCTTCTCTTGTTAATATCACAAACTGGGATAAGGTGTTGAACAATAGAGGTGTTACCACCTTGACAAGCATAATATAACACACTGTAATAACTATCATCAACCAGGGTGAGATCAGCTGCATTGGATACAGTAAGTTAAAAACGTCTTTTTGACCATACAGAGCTGCCAGCATGACTGGGGTCTGACCATCACGCCTTCTCTTGTTAATATCACAAATTCTGATGAGGTGTTAAACAATAGACGTGTTACCACCTAGACAAGCATAATGTAACACTCCGCCATCTTCGTCATCAACCAGGGTGAGATCAGCTGCATTGGACACCAGTAGGTCAAAACGTCTTTTTGACCACACAGAGCTGCCAGCTATGACTGGGGTCTGACCATCACGCTCTCTTGTTAATATCACAAATTCTGATGAGGTGTTGAACAATAGACGCGTTACCACCTTGACAAGCAGAATGTAACACCCCGCCATCTTCGTCATCAACCAGGGTGAGATCAGCTGCATTGGACACCAGTAAGTCAAAACGTCTTTTGACCATGCACAGCTGCCAGCATGACTGGGGTCCGACCATCACGTATTATCTTGTTAATGTCACATACTGGGATAAGGTGTTGAACAATAGACGTGTTACCACCTTGACAAGCATAATATAACACACCACCATCTTTATCATCAACCAGGGTGAGATCAGCTGCATTGGACACCAGTAAGTCAAAAACGTCTTTTGACCATACAGAGCTGCCAGCATGACTGGGGTCTGACCATCACGCGCCTCTTGTTAATATCACAAATTCCGATGAGGTGTTGAACAATAGACGCGTTACCACCTGCACAAGCAGAATGTAACACCCGCCATCTTCGTCATCAACCAGGGTTAGATCAGCTGCATTGGACACCAGTAAGTCAAAACGTCTTTTGACCATGCACAGCTGCCAGCATGACTGGGGTCTGACCATCACGCATTATCTTGTTAATATCACATACTGGGATAAGGTGTTGAACAATAGACGCGTTACCACCTTGACAAGCATAATGTAACACCCCGCCATCTTCGTCATCAACCAGGGTGAGATCAGCTGCATTGGACACCAGTAAGTCAAAACGTCTTTTGACCATACAGAGCTGCCAGCATGACTGGGGTCTGACCATCACGCCTTCTGTTGTTAATATCACAAATTCCGATGAGGTGTTGAACAATAGACGCGTTACCACCTTCACAAGCATAATGTAACACTCCACCATCTTCGTCATCAACCAGGGTGAGATCAGCTTCACTGGACACCAGTAAGTCAAAACGTCTTTTGACCATGCACAGCTGCCAGCATGACTGGGGTCTGACCATCACGCATTATCTTGTTAATATCACATACTGGGATAAGGTGTTGAACAATAGACGCGTTACCACCTTGACAAGCATAATGTAACACCCCGCCATCTTCGTCATCAACCAGGGTGAGATCAGCTGCATTGGACACCAGTAAGTCAAAACGTCTTTTTGACCATACAGAGCTGCCAGCATGACTGGGGTCTGACCATCACGCCTTCTGTTGTTAATATCACAAATTCCGATGAGGTGTTGAACAATAGACGCGTTACCACCTTCACAAGCATAATGTAACACTCCACCATCTTCGTCATCAACCAGGGTGAGATCAGCTTCACTGGACACCAGTAAGTCAAAACGTCCTTTTGACCACACACAGATGCGTGCATGACTGGGGTCCGACCATCACGCCCACTCTTGTTAATATCACAAACTCTGATGAGGTGTTGAACAATAGACGTGTTACCACCTTGACAAGCATAATATAACACACCACCATCTTTATCATCAACCAGGGTGAGATCAGCTGCATTGGACACCAGTAAGTCAAAACGTCTTTTTGACCATACAGAGCTGCCAGCATGACTGGGGTCTGACCATCACTCCTTCTCTTGTTAATATCACAAATTCTGATGAGGTGTTGAACAATAGACGCGTTACCACCTTCACAAGCATAATGTAACACTCCGCCATCTTCGTCGTCAACCAGGGTGAGATCAGCTGCACTGGACACCAGTAGGTCAAAACGTCTTTTGACCACACAGAGCTGCCACTATGACTGGGGTCTGACCATCACGCCTTCTCTTGTTAATATCACAAATTCTGATGAGGTGTTGAACAATAGACGCGTTACCACCTGCACAAGCAGAATGTAACACCCCGCCATCTTCGTCATCAACCAGGGTTAGATCAGCTGCATTGGACACCAGTAAGTCAAAACGTCTTTTTGACCATGCACAGCTGCCAGCATGACTGGGGTCCGACCATCACGTATTATCTTGTTAATGTCACATACTGGGATAAGGTGTTGAACAATAGACGCGTTACCACCTGCACAAGCAGAATGTAACACCCCGCCATCTTCGTCATCAACCAGGGTGAGATCAGCTGCATTGATTGGACACCAGTAAGTCAAAAACGTCTTTTGACCATACAGAGCTGCCAGCATGACTGGGGTCTGACCATCACGCCTTCTCTTGTTAATATCACAAATTCCGATGAGGTGTTGAAGAATAGACGCGTTACCACCTTGACAAGCATAATGTAACACTCCGCCATCTTCGTCATCATCCAGGGTGAGATCAGCTGCACTGGACACCAGTAAGTCAAAAACGTCTTTTTGACCACACACAGCTGTGTGCATGACTGGGGTCCGACCATCACGCCCTCTCTTGTTAATATCACAAACTCTGATGAGGTGTTGAACAATAGACGTGTTACCACCTTCACAAGCATAATGTAACACACTGTAATAACCATCATCAACCAGGGTGAGATCAGCTGCATTGGACACCAGTAAGTCAAAAACGTCTTTTGACCATACACAGCTGCGTGCATGACTGGGGTCCGACCATCACGCCCTCTCTTGTTAATATCACAAACTCTGATGAGGTGTTGAACAATAGACGTGTTACCACCTTGACAAGCATAATGTAACACACTGTAATAACCATCATCAACCAGGGTGAGATCAGCTGCACTGGACACCAGTAAGTCAAAAACGTCTTTTTGACCATGCATAGCTGCGTGCATGACTGGGGTCCGACCATCACGCCTTCTCTTGTTAATGTCACATACTGGGATGAGGTGTTGAACAATAGACGTGTTACCACCTTGACAAGCATAATGTAACACACCTTCATCTTCGTCATCAAGCAGGGTGAGATCAGCCTTATACGCCAATAATCTGGAAAATACACTCATGAAACCGGTCAAAGCAGCCGCCATGATGGGTGTCGTGCCGTTTTTGTTTCGGCTGTTCACAAGGATACGCTGTTCAGTGAAGCGCAGTGCAACATCCACTATCCCGATATTATTTCTTCTAGCTGCTACATGGAAAATGTTGTCCTTATCTTCATTAGTTTTTGTTATGTCCGCCCCTTTCTGCAGTAGAAACGTTACCATTTCAATGTGTTCCCTTTCTGCAGCATCAAGAAACAATTCGGAAACAGTGTTTTGAGGTATCCTGTCTTGAAACGCAGTGAACAATACCTCCATTACTGCCATGCTGCCACTCAATATTGAGGCATCAAGAGCTGCCTTGATTTCTCTCTCTGAGAAAATGTGATCTGTAAGCTGTATGACGGTCCTCACTACGTATTCACTCTTTGAGAGTACTGCCCAGTAGATGATATGTTTATCATCACAATCCGTAGAAGGAAAATCAGTTGTCTTAACCCATTGTTTAACATTCGGATCTTCAAGAACTCTCTTTAGCAAACGGTTCATTTTGTAGCAATGGATGGGAAATAGACCATCTGTATTCACCTCTTAAAACTGATTCTGCTATTCTTGCAGCTACTATATCATAGTAGTTTTCTGACACAAAGATGATGTTAGTGTAGGTGTCTCATTGCTGTGGCTGGTACTGGGTTCTGAATTCACCCTTTCATATAGGAACTGCATACTGCAGTTGGTGAGAACAAGAGCCGGATGGAGATCATAAACAGAGCATAGGCATGCATCAAGTATGGATGGGTGAGAAAATGCTGTTGTATCTCCTTCAAGAAAAAATGTCCCTCTTAGGCATTTGGTAGATTCGTAGATATCTGCCCTGGTGATTCCTGAGAGAATGGTTTCCACTGCTCTTAGGTTTGCCTCAAGACGCTGGTCATCAGATTTCTTCTCCAACTTTCTCAGATCGAGCTTTTCATTATACAGGACCATGAGGATGAGAGCCGCTGATTTCGTTCCTTTGGATCTCATGATCAAATCTATTTCTTGCCGCAAGTAGGTCAGAGGATTAAGGAAAAATTGAAGAGGATCACTCTGGTAGTCAAGCAATCTAACATACAGGGAACATGTCATAGGAAAGCCAAATAAGCTATCTTTGAGCTGCATATTTGGTCTAGGTCAACCTGTATGTCATGTCCCTTTACTCTTTGGTGCTTGCTAAATATTGCCTTCTTTTCGACCACAGAATATTGATAGAGAGGCGTTCTAGTCACATCAACAACAGTCTGTGGCTTGAAGAAAGAAAACTGTTGTCCTCCTAGCCGAGGTACTACTTCTTGAAAGTTGTATGATTTACTCGTAAACACAATGTATAGGTTTAAATGTTGTTTCACCTTTACTTGTGGAAGCATGTCATGATCTGGTCTAACACCTCCTAGTCCTAGTATGTGACCTTGCCCTGTCTTCATTTGCTGTCGTGTCATCTTTTCGTTTCAGACGACCGAGTCAAGTGTTTGATGAATTCGTCAAGGATGTGAGAGCCTTTCTAAAGTTTGAAATCTCTGTAGAAGAACCGGTTCCAAACAAATCATCAAAAACAATGAACAGTGGTTGTCCATCTTTGACGCAGACAGCAAGATCAAACTTGTCAATATTGTCAACAAATACCAATTGAAAGCCTTTCTTCTTGTACTTAGCACCCAGCATCAGAGCCATGCTTGTCTTTCCTCCTTCTCCTGAGGCGCCCGTGATAGTCACGTGTCCATGTTCAATCAGCTTTGACTCCAACCATTCTGAAACTGTCAGTCTTCACGAATACTTCCCGAGTTGATTCTAGTTTCCAGTCCGTGGCTTCTGGAACATGTATATATGATATTGTCAATAATTCGTTTCATACTGACTGCTGAAGGTGATTTGAGTACAGGGCTTATCGTTCTGTATACTCATACGGATAGATATTTTGGTGAAATATGCCATTGTCATGTAGCAGTATGTTTGTAAAAGGGATATTGTTAGATTTTAAAGCATTGTCATAGTAAACTATTTTAAATCATCATCATAGTAAACTAACATAAATTAAATTAATAAACTAAACCTTAATATTTAACATATATTTCCTTAAATACTTGTGTTCACTTCAAATCTTGCATAAATATTCTACTTCATGTAAGCTTGTTTCTGTAGATAGCTTGGGTAGTTCAGCTATTTAGTTTTTTTCAGTTCATGGTTATTGCCACTGGGCTTGTCACAAACTTGGCCTGTAATTTGGTTTCTGTTGTTCTCTGGTTTTGCATGATCTTTTCAAGCATGTGTTTACACTGGTCAGAACATTTGTTGACCACTCGGCACATCGCCGAGTTAACATGTTAACAGCACATTCTCTGCGCTGAATCATATGAGTTCATTTAATTGTTACTTTATCAATATGGAAACTTAGGTTATGCATGTTAAGCATTGTTGTTACATATGGTATTTTAGCTAGCATTGTATTGCGATATTGTTCTCAATCCAACGTGTATTTGACAGAGGCATAAGCCAAGTGTACTTTGTGTAATATACACAGAAAAAGATTACATAATTTATGTTGTTTGTATTCCATACATAGGAATGCAACTGTGGCTATACCACACTTGTACATCGTATATTCATTTGTGCAGCATAATCACCGCGTATCTGTGGAAACGTTGGAGTCAGCGTCCCTGAGACGAGGTAGGATAGTTATGATTTATGGCATGTGCATGATATATAAAGCGTGATATGTTTTATCTGACCGAAGGGATTAGTTAAAGCAGGTTGCAAACAAGGTTTGAACTGTGAAGAAAAATGTTAGTATTATTGTTATTTAGTGCCGTTATATACCCCTACCAATGATGTTTATTATTTCATCATGTATGTTTAGGGCAGATCCAGACTACCCTGCAGTACGCCATTGATCCCTTTGAAACCCTACAGGTGCTCCCTTCTTAGTTTGAGTACAGTTGGTATTGCCGTAACAATAAGTAAACAGAGGAACGTGTATTGAACCTTCACCTTTTTACCCTAAGTGAAAAGAGTGACCTGATATTTTCTCAGTAGGTGATGTAAAACTAATTTCAAACTTCATGACCACCAGCAGTTTTGCCATACACAATATAAGCAGTAGTATAACCCACCTGTCATGTTTGATATTAATTCCAAAGTATGAGCTCTATTCACACATATTGACCGACTACTAGTTGATATAAGCGAGATATCGGGGACCCAGACCAGATGTCAGTCTTGGAAAGTTTGATCAGCTGACACTGGCATTATATTTAATGCACGTGATTGATACCACACGTGCCTTAAATCGCTGAAGTATTTCCAATAAGCAAAGGGTCTTTGTGACAGAAGGTTCATAGATTACAACGTGTCAACCTCTATCACCACCTATCTCACCCTATCTCACCCTAATCGCAGGAGTGGTGGTTCTTTGTGGTCATCTGAGAATTCCAAACATTGGCAATGTATTTATGTTTGTTAGGAGTGTTGACAAGGCTTGTTTCCATTACATAATATTAGATGGCATCCATTGAACTTTGTAAATTTGCTGAAAGGAGTTTTATCGTCATGTATAACACAGTTACAACCAAATTAACAACTGACTGTCTTTTACATCGTGGCATTCTTTGGGAAGATTGAGGTTGGTGTTACAGATAGAAATCAAAATGCCATCTAAATTTACACATGTACATTTCTATAAGCAAATACATGAAAATAGTAAATAACCTCAACAAGAATCATTCAAACACTTAACATTCCCTCAGACTTATTGTAAATATTGAAACAACAGTCATATGTTATCCCTAACGTCACTGAGCCATACAGAATGATCTTCTCACCCGAAGACATGGTTCCACCTCCAGAGCCAATGGCGACGTTCACGTCTCCCAGCACTAGGAAAATAGAATATGGAGGTAACAAGCAGTGAGAGCAGCCATGCAGACGATATCCGTGCATTCACTCCTTCATGATAAGAAAATTGAAAGCATAGGTTTGATTAAACTGTAACAGATAAAACCAAAGCAAAACCTGAATAGAATTAAGCCACGGGATGTTGAATAATTCGCGATTCCTATAGGAGAAGAAGAAGAAAATTATTTTATTTAAGTGTCACATGCTGTGGTACAAAATTTATAATACATTAAAAACAGCACCAGGCCAATTGGCCTACGAGACACTACATTACTTGAATATATATATAAAATAAAATAGTTAAAACATTATTTACGTACGTTCATACAGTCTGATACATACATATACATACGTACGCGCGCACGAACACGTACACACATACCCACCACCCCCACCCCCACAAGCACACACCCACATCTCCCCCACCCTCCCACACACAACACAGACACGCACGCCTGCGCGCGCACACACATACATACAATAGTAGAGTGATACTGAGTATAATTGCCCCCAACCCCACCCACCACACACAAACACCTACATGCGTGCATGCATCCATCCATCCATCAAACATACTGCATACATACTTACATACTGCTCTAAGGAGGTAACGTATTCCCATTAATCATATTTTAAATCGGAATAAAAGTTGCTAACTGTCAGAAAGTGGATTTCATCTTCGATTACGTTAGAATCACACATTTTACAAATCCTTTCGTCCAAATTGGTCGTGAGAATGAGAATCTCCCAGTCTCTATTTCAAGAGATAAAGTACCTGTATATAAGTACTATACGTACTATTATATGATAAATATTTGCGTTGTGTTTATAGTAATACATGCATTCTGTTTGGCTGAACTGGTGACGTATTTTGTTTTCAGCTCTTAATGATTGTAAACAATGAAGCCAAGCCTATCAAAGTGGGCAACCTACACCACGAGGTATTGTCGGACAACGCCATTTAAGGCCTCAATTCCTTTTCTGTTTAGTGCAGTGGACATGTTAACGACATTGATACATATTGTGGCGTCAGGAACTCAAACTTCTAATAAACCTTGTCAGTCTTGGTTTTAGGAAGAGTCAAATACGTATTTCAATGAATAGATAGCTTTTTATTCATTTTTAATTTCAGGATAATTATAATAATAATTTCTGCACTGCTATAAACTATAAAAAATACAAATAGGAAATACCAAAGAAATATGTTATGATGCCTAACTATTTACAAGCTTTTAAAACTTATACATTTTGCAATTAAAATACAGGAATAATATGTAAATCTTCGTGATGGCCATCACAATATTCTCAAACAACTTAAAGGAATGAAATACCATACTTGTGGGGCGTGCAGGCTCGTGCGCATGTCTTAACCGTTCGTCCCTTTACACAAATTACATGTCTGTGGGTTGTTTTCTTCCGGTCTACCCGTTTTCAGGAAACCAGTGCTTGAATTTGTCCATCTCATTTGAAAGAGGCGTCTTTTTCCTGACATATTTGTTCCGGTTCATTACAGTCTGACTGTTATAGTGCTTCTCATCTCTTAACACGATTGGCAGTTTCTGTGAACCCAGTTTTGATGCTACTCTCCGGTGGCTACTGACTTTGTGGGCATGTCAAGTTATGTGTATACATTACACAACCTTCTGATACACGCCACGCCACAGTATGCATTCCTTTGCCTAGTAAGCTTATCAGTCTTTGAGTTTCCTGCTTTCTTTATATTATATAATTGTTTCTATGTTGTTTCCGTTGTTTAATTTCACTACAAGGATTGATAATGTAAGTTTTGGTTCTTTAAGGTATGAATAGAAACACTGATATGCAACCTTTAATAAGAACCCACCACGAGGATTCATGATAGTTTGTACATTGTATTTCTTTCATTTCATATCATACTTTAATTACCGAAACCAAACACGCATTTATGCTATATTTTAGACAGAAAAAACCCAACTAAATAATAAAACAACACCCATAATAAAAAAAACAACTACTGCACCTGTAGTTGACACTGATGCATTTGTTGCCTGTTGTTGTGGATGTTGTTGTCGCCTCGAGGACACGTCCAGGTGTTGGACGTCATCGTCTTCCATCCGATGTACCTGGTCAACATCAGATCCAGTCTGCGTCTGGATGAGACTACAAATAGGTTCTGCAGTTTGTTGTTCCCTTTGAAGGGTCTTGGAGTCTATGTGACTCTTGCCTAGCATTTGCCCCATGCTGGCTTTCTTGTAAGCTGGTACTGAGACTGATCTGAAAAATGAACAGTTTTAAGGAAAAAGACACAATAATTGTTACTACGCATTGTGATACACCAACCTTTCAACTAATATAATTTATGCGTACAAACTGGCTTCACCGAAGTGCTTGAAATGTCGAGTATTAGTTTTACAACTTACGTTATGTGTGTAATTTGAGTAGTCTGAAAATAACGTGTCCAGTTGTGATCCAAGGTAATAAGAATTTTCAGTTTAATAAGGGTTTTCATTGTAAGCATCAGTAACTGGTAAAACACAAATATTGCCAAGGGACTTTATCTCTTCTGACTATAGTTCATCACAAGTTTAAAATGCAAACAAAACAATGACACAGGTAGACTTTTCAAACACTTTACGCCCTCGTCACTAATTCTGCAGCAATTTCCTGTGATAATCGATATCAATTAAATTTAGCCCAACATACAATAAAAGAGTGTCAATCTTGACCTTGTATATGTCTTCTGAGGCTCTGTCGTATGATTTTGTCGAAATGTCATGGACTCACTTTGCATAAACCAAGTTTCAGTTGTGGGACGTCGAAAGTACAGTTAACCCTGCAGTCGTGCGTAGCCAATTAAAGTCATTTTTAACAAAACACAGGCAACTCGCAGTGTGATTATATTTGTATTTACATAAACAAGGTATGGATACACTGATTAAACTAAGAACTAAGTTATTTTCAACGCAAACAACAACTTGATACAGAAAATAGAAACGACCAAACTCTTTCCTTGTCCACAAGAAATCTCTGCTCAGTATGTATTTGTTTGAAGCCGCATTCAGCAGTATTTCAGCTTGCGACGTGGTCTATAAACAAGAGACCGATCCAGTCTGTCAATCAAAACTGGCGGATGCGTCAGTTTTGGCCAATCAGCAGGCCGGGATTTGTCAGACGTATTTCCGGGATCAAACGATGCCTCAGAAGCGATGTGCTTCGAATTGTGCCTCACGCTCGCTATATCTACTACATATTGCTGTGATTTGCTGTGTACATTAAACACAGCCATTACGACCAAGACAAAAGATTTGAGGCGGACCAAGGAGTGTGATAGGAGTGTGAGAGTGTAAATGTCGGCACCATCGTCTGCTAGAAGGTGAGAATTTGCATGAATTTCCACACTTTCGCACATGTGCAAAATCATTACCAATAGATGACAACAAATAGCGGTTTAAGATTTTGCAAGTCTTGTAAACAATGTAAACAAATCTGACAGCGATCTGATTTTGGTTAGGGTCGACCGAAATAGCAAAACTTGGTACATTAGAGAGCAATGTGGTTGATATTGTTGCCTAAATTTGTCACACATTTTAGGATGTTTTAAAGTTTCAAAAGCACAATCTGAAGGCCTTGTACATTTTAGGAGTAATGACATAACTGTCATTTTAATCAATTCACTGGAAATGATGGCAAAGCATGTTTAAAGAATCTTGCGTCCTTTAGTAAACGTGGAAAGGTAATAAAATAAATAATAATAATCTACTCAATTATAAATAATTACTTAATTGTCTTGCATGTGATTTTAAGGCAGAACTAGGCAAACAAATACTATATCATGGCAAAAGAATCACTTTGTACTAACTAACTTGTTGGCTCCTGCTTTAAGACATCTTTGGTGATTACTAGTATCATAACTCATAATAAACTTATTTCAACATCCAGAGAATTTGAAAAAACCAAAGGCTTATTCGGTCTTGGAACATAATAACTTAAAAATTCTCAGTTGACTTTTCATCTAACTAAAATATATTTTAACCAGATTTGATGTAATACTTCTTAGAAATCATCAGCATTTGCGGTGGTTACCAATATTTGAAGACTGAGCCAAAGTAGTGTTTATTAAGATGTTGGTTAAGGACAAATTGTCCAAGGTTTGTTGATGGTTATTTGGAAAATGAGCTTCATATTAAATTGCACACTGGTTTGCAGGTGGTGAAAGCTTCAGGACATTTTCATGTGTGTGTTCCTAAACTTTTGTTATGACTTTTACCAAATTTTGAAACAACTTCAATATATTTTGATGACACTAGTAAATATCTGGGAAAAGGAAATAGATCAAAATAAGTGTTATGTCCTTTAGGGACATTGTCACAGATCTAATAAAACAAAGATTATCATTGCTTAAGAAGCAATAATGTCAATGAGTAATTTTATAGACAAAAAGCTTTGAACATAGGATATATTCTTTGTACCTAACTTACCATAGTAGTTAGCAGTTAAATATCTCTCGAGAAAAAAGCAGTATATATGTAATTTGTGTAACATTCTATTTCAATCCTAGTTAATTGTTTGGATAACTGCATGTGGATCATCTGTTCAAAGATTTTGCATCACAGGTTTCCTATTTCTGGAAGATGGGTCAGTTACAGGTGCAGACTGTATCCTGGATTTTCTTTGTGTTCTGGTGCTGTGACATACCTGTACATAAATGCTGGCAGTTCATGAAGTCCAGTACTGTGGAAGTTTGTACATTAGGATTCCACAACAAAGTACACATAGAAAAATAAATTGTAATGGATGATTAAAAAATGGATTTTCTTATATTCAGAGTCATTTTAGGATGGTGTATAGATTTTTCATCAAGCATGCAATATGTCAAGTAAAATATATTAAAAATAATGTACGTATAACTTTCCTCTTTAAATATCATTCACAAAGGACGGATACCAAAGTACCACAAGCAGAATTCATCAACAACGTTCTCAATCACGTACGTTTCGCCGGCGGTGACGCCATTGTGATAAGTCAGTGGTTGTCACCCCCACCCCTAACGTCAAAAATGAAGTTGGCGGGGCTTATCAGCAGGGACTGGATCGGTCTATTAAGTCTGGACCAGACAATCCAGTGATTGTCACCACCCGATACGATGACAGAGCATGTGTTTATGAACCACTTTCAAAAGTGATGATACCAGGTGTTCGAGAAAAAAAGTTAGGGTATACTTCCCCACCGGTTGCACTCGCCATAAACATTCGAAATCCTGCCTGAGCATAGAGGATTAGAGTTAGTTTCTTTACATTTTGTAAGACGTTTATTTGAAATAAAAGTAAATAGTTTTCCTTGATAGGTAAACAACAAATTCTGAATGGTATTGCATTGATCCCAGCTCATAGTAACAATCTGTGGGTTGTTTGGCTGGGACCGTATCGATTACTCTTCTCTTTGAATCAGCATATTGGACTGTAGAGGACCGCCTAAGCACACTGTGGGTACTTTTCATTTCCGGGTCGCTCTGTACAGCAGACAGATTGTGTAGTGACGACTGAAGTGGGTCAAAAAGTAACATAACAGAACAGTAAATCGATAACCAGGAGCCTGGCATGTCTCGGTTGACAAACAGTGCTTGAACATGTGACTAATGATGTTGTCAAACGGAAACACCTCATATACCCATATCGTTCCCGTTCTCTTATTAGACATCTCAACTTCGGTCTCTGTTCAGTAACTTTGTGCTCCTGTTTGAGGAGGTTTATTATAGAAACATTATCCTGAATTTTCAGCTCTGTGTATGAGTCATGTTAACCTGTATTTATAATAAAGTAAAACTTGGACAACCACAAAATGTTGTCGATAAAGATAATCAAATATATTACTGAAAGTTTCCTCTATAAGTAAAACTGCCTTGGATATATATTGTGTTGAAATAGCCACAGACAACAATGCAACATGTTTGATGAACACAGGCCTGTTGTCAGGTTACACATTATGCCAACAAAAACACGTTGGCAATAATCAGTCACTCACTCATCAAAATGAGATCATCTTAACAAAGGTGACAGGTTAAAAAATCACGAAAACTAAATAATGCAAAAAGTGCTGCAACGCCTCTCTAACCTTTCAATGATCAACATGTAATTAGTTCAGTTTTGTCCTATCATGTCTTGTTAATACTTCAACTTTGGTTGAGAGTAAAGGGCAAAGGTGTATGTAGCAGAACAAACTCCCCTGTACATGGCTTTAACGGTTCCATGCTAGTTTTCCCCAGAGAAAACAGTTCATGAGACAAATTTCACTGATAAATTTTGACAGTATATGGGAATAGTGCGTATTTTGTGTGCACCCGACGTTTGTAAATATGGGTCTTATTAAGCATAACTAAGTAGTTGGAGCAAAAGCAAACCGAGTTGCGATAGTGTACGCACTACAACGAGGTGCTGTGGTTATTTGTCGAAGGACAATTTATTTATCATTGGACTTTGTCCTAGTAATCTACACTGTTCGTGCACGTAGCAAATGAAGGTCAGAGTGACCAGAATAACGGACTCCTTTAAGTTAAAACTTACGTATTTCATTGTTAATTTAAACATTGTGTGACAAAATAATTTGAAATAATCACTGATCGTCACATCGGTAAGCAGTGGACATATACAAAGACCACACAAACTATCCATGGCGATGTATGTAGAATGTCCACTTTATTTGTACCAGAGAAACTGTTGACATGTGAACTTGAAAGCAAAGAAATACTGTCACATCTTGTACTTACCAAAGGTGGCTCAGGAGCTCATATTTGCATGTTTGCCCACTGTTCTTGAGCGGATTTCATAAAACGACGTCCTTATGCACAAAAGTAGTGGGCGTATCTAAGTCGTGTCATCACGTGACGTGAAAACAAGCTCAAGTGGTTGTTATCTTAAGCACAAACTGCTATGTAAATAAATGTTCCCGTCAGCCTGTAGAATTAGGAGATTAAAGAGGCAACGACGGAATGAGCACAGCGATAAGCAATTTGTACATTATGTTTCCTTTAGACCTTATAAATTAATACATTATTACGACGTGTTCCTATTGGTTTGAAATAACTACCATTGTAAGAAGATATATAAAGCAGAAATCTGAAGTCAAATAATTTATATAACATGTAAAAAGAAATATCTTGAAGAATGTGTTTGTCTTAAGTCAACATTTGTCGCAAAAAACAGTTAAACAGAGTGTTTGCAATACGTGACCTGACGCCATAGTGGGGAGTTGACTTGCTGCTTCAGTGCAGTGTTTGGTA